GTCTGACAAAGTGTTTTTGAAACATCCTTGTAGAGAAGACTGAGATAAGTGAGCTAGATGATACTATAAATCAATAAGTTAACCAAATGTTGAAGAAGTCTACCCAAAGATTCCGGGGTAAGAGGGAGGCCAACCTGAAGAGAAGGTTCTACAGGTTGGCTATCTGGCTTTCCATCTGCTACCGAGCTCTGCAACAATTTTTAAAAAACTAGAGACATAATAAAAAAATTAGTAGCTATTCTTATCAAATTTTCCAACTGAAATACCTGGGAAGGGTAGACAATATGTTGAAAGGCAGGAAAAAAAAAGTGCTATAGAATCAGAAACTTAAGGATGATGTAAAGAACTTGAAATTAAATTCAGATAATGAATTCAAAATCTTTTCACATACATTGTGAAAATTTGCCTGCACAATGGGTGACTTCATTTCAGTGATCATTTTAGCATTAGATTGGTCCACAACCATATAAAGCATGGGCCATACATGTGGACAGATGGTGGCACTGGAAGATGACGGGCTCAGTGAGGGTTGACCCTGGTTTGTGAGTGTTGCTTCCATATTCTCTGGGTATCTGAAATGCTGGGAGGCTGTTAAATAAAGGGGTGCCACGCCACCAAGAAATGAATTCCTTTACTACCAAAGAATGTTAAGCCAGGTGGATATTCCTTAGCAGTTTCTCTGTGCCTTGTTTGTGTATCTGAAGCATTCCTCCATGACTAAAGAATCCAAAACATGAAGAGGAGATGGTGCAAGTTGGAGAGGGGGAGGCCACCCTGAATTAGACCCAACAGCTGCTCCATCTCTTTCATGTTAAAATCAATTGCCTAAAGGGGCAGAAGAAAGAATCCTTCAATCATTCAATGAGATTCCTAGATCTCACTGCGTTTTATATCCACATCTACAGTAGGAAAGACTGCCAAAAGATATGACCTTTTTATGTAAGAAAAGAGCCTGGTCTTAGTCATAATTTGTTTTTCTTAACGATTGTTCACAGCTTCCATTACGTGAAATGCAATAACTTTCATCAATTTGCCATCACAGTTCACAAAAATGAAATTTATCAAGAAATCAATTTTAAATCAGCCATCTGGCACTTTTTAAACAATGCTGAGGAAAAAGGATATATGCTGACCTATTCAAAATTCCACTTGAAAATTGCTTTTGCTTTTATTTAATGAAAAACAAAACAAAACGAAACAAAAAAACAAAAACAAAATCTAAGCAACTTCTATCTGCTATAATATTTGTTAAAAGTAAGAATGAATATAAAGACCCTGAAGGATGGGATAAAATAAATTTTGGGGTCACTAAATATCAGGATCATTTTTAAAATAGTAACTTTCCATGAACTTAGAATTCATCAATTTAGAGAAGGAATACAATTGAAACTTGGGAAATTTATTAAGGCAAATTATTTTTCACGTATTAATACTTTATTTGTATGGAAATAATTATACTAATCACGGTGTTAATAGTTATTAACTAATTAAATTATTCATTAAAGTATCTACTAGCACTAAGTTGATATTCAAGAAGATAATCTTAAATATTCCTAAAATGTTAGAGCATTAGATACATGAAGATAACTCAGAATACATAAATTTTCAGACTTGGAAACTGAGACCAGAGAGGTAACAGACTCTGCCCAACCCCATGCTGTTGGTTACTGTGAGGTGAAAAAGAAAAATGCTGTTCAACGCTGTCAACATCACACCACAGGTAACTGAATCTCAAAGTAAGTTAAGTCAAGAGATGTTGTGTAAAAGCCTGCATCACTATGTTAAGCCCTAAGAAGAAACAGGTGTAGAAAAAAATCACTAGTTTTCTTAAGCTGTCAGTGTGAAGAAGATAAACCTAAAACACTAAAAGTCAACATAAGGCTGAAATTTAAATGCAAGATATTAATTCAAAAAATAATAATACACAATTAGTTGTTATGGATTCCCATAAATGGAACCCTTTGGAAAGATAAATCACCATAGAATGTGGAGGAAATGGAAGTTGAACTGATTTTGAAGAATGGGGAGGGTTTAGAAGAACAGAAAGAAATAATACCCAGTGGCTCAGCAGGCTGAGGCAGGAGGATCACCAGTTCAAAGCCAGCCTCAGCAACAGCAAGGTGCTAAGCAACTCAGTGAGACTCTGTCTCTAAATAAAACACAAAATAGGGCTGGGGATGTGGCTCAGTGATGGGGTGTCCCTGAGTTCAATCCTTGGTACCAATAAAACAAAACAAACAACAACAAAATAACTTGTTGGATTGTCACTGGTATGGTAAAGTGATATCAATTAACATCAAGGTAATTAATGGAATATTACTCAGCAATTAAAGAGAATAAAATCATGGCATTTGCAGGTAAATGGATGGAGTTAGAGAAGATAATGCTAAGTGAAGTTAGCCAATCCCCAAAAACCAAATGCCGAATGTTTTCTTTGGTATAAGGAGGCTGATTCATAGTGGGATAGGGAGAGGGAGCTTGGGAGGAATAGATGAACTCTAGATAGGGCAGAGGGGTTGGAGGGGAAGGGAGGGGACATGGGGTTAGAAACGATGGTGCAAAGTACAGGTATGAAGACATGAATTGGTGTGAATTGTGTATACAACCAGAGATATGAAAAATTGTGCTCTATGGGTGTAATAAGAATTGTAATGCATTCCACTGTCACATATGAATAAAAAAAGAGCAATTAAATGTTTATCTGCCCTGATAAGCTGGAGAAAAAAATGAACTGGGAACTGTTAATATAATGCTTGATTTATTTAGTTATACCTCATTATTCCACAAAGAAAGGCAGCTTTAAAAAATATATAACATACACTGAATAAAATAAATGGTTTTAAAAATGACAAATCCAAGAGTAAAAATGCACACAGAGTAAAGCAGACTATGCAGACTAGAAGGTTGTCAGCTGGAGGTGAGTCGAGGCAAGATGGAGGGGGGAGAGGGGAGAGTGAACCCTTTCTAGCAGTTTCATGGTTTTTCATGCACTGGTTTCAAAATAAAACAAACCAACCAATTCTTGTAATGTATGAGAAGTTCAGCCTTTTTTAATGCTAAAACATGAGACAATTTGTCCTTCAAGTGCTCATAAAGAAGTCACTGAAATATAATTATGTCCAAAAAAAAAGTCACTGAAAGATGTCTTGGGTGATGGCCTATGGTTATAATGGATAATTTCTCATGGCCGTATTTCTCACTGGCTCTCGGGGTCAGACAGGATCATCATGCTGAGACACAATTCCATTATAACACTGTGGCCTACATGCCCAGCTCCACTTGCAGTATAAGAGTAAAATTCAGAACATGTACCATAGTAGAGACAAAAATCTACTGGTCACATACAGTGTGACAGACATGGGAATACTGTCATGAATAAAATGGCAATTCTCATAAAGACCACGAACATGCAAATGTATGTTAGATGGCCATAAATACTATGGGAAAGTAAAGCAGGAAAAAATGACAGAGAACATCCGGGCAGTGGAAAGTTGCTATTTACATACAACAGTCATCACAGAAGACACCTTTGACATGGTAACACATGGACAAAAACTGACATGATGTGAAGAAAGAAACTCTGAGCCTTCTGGGAGAGAAATGTGGCAGGCAGAGAGAACAGTTCCTGTAAGGGTCCCCAGAGAGAAGCTTGTCATGCTTGAACAAGACCACTGGCCAGAGAGAGGCAGGATGGGGATCTTAGGAAAATGAAGGAGCCAGAAACCAACCTCAGATCAAAAATAAGAAAAATTGAATTTGTACTGATTTTTTTTTTTGGTAGGGGGTGGTTACTGGAAATTGAAGCCAAGAGTGCTTAACCACTGAGCCACATCTTCGGACCTTCTTATTTTTTATTTAAGTTCCTTAGGGCTTTGCTAAGTTGCTGAGGCTGGCTTTGAACTTGTGATCCTCCTGCCTCAGCCTCTGGAGCCCCTGAGATTGGTGTGCACCACTGCACCTGGCTTGTACTGATTTTTTTTTATTCCCTAAACAGTACAGTATAACAACTATTTGCATATCATTGGCATTGTATTAGGTAATACAACTAATCTAGAGATGTGTATGGGTTAATATGCAAATACTATAACATTGCATATTAAGTACTTGAGCATCCACAGAGTTGGGTATCTAAGGGGGATAATGAGGATGACTTATTAAAGCAAGAAAACTACTTTCATAATTTCCATCACTTAACTACTCATAGAATGTCCTAATTTTGCTTCTTGGTGGAACTTACATGAGTTTTTTTAAAATGCAAATTGCACCCTAAGTAACTGCCTCATCAAAATAATTTCTTATGTTTAACCTGAATGAATGCTGCAAGGCATCTAGCAAAGATGTTGTGCATGATTTTAAAGACAATCTGGCAATTGTGTGACAGCATAATCCACTGTCTATCAAGGGCACCTCCAAGTGTCAACAAAATTATTTCATCAATTTAGAGAGGTTGACATCTCTCCACTTTTCCATAGCAAGGGGTCATGTCTCCAGAATTCTGAAAAGTGGTATCAAATCACTTTGAGAAGTGAAGAGGAGGAGATTCAACACAAACCTGTTTTATGCCGTGAGAAATTTCTCTTAGGATGCCATCAAACCTGCTATCTCCTAACAGGTATTGAAGCACAGGGTCTTCAAGATTGTCATTAATTTGTTCCCTATTGAGTTCAGAGACCTCAATCCATTGTCAAATCCCCAGAAAAATATGACAAGTAAACAGCAATAAAAACAGCAAGTCCCAAAGTGACAGAAAACATATTAATGGTCAGTAAGACACCACCTTTGTCTAAAGGTCACCTACACTGTGAAGAAAATATTAGAATGAGAAAACTAGGCTTCTCATATCTGTCAAGAAGAAAAGTGACATAGAGAGATTAGGTGTCCAATGTAAGTTTACCAGCCATTAGTCAAATCATTAGTACAAAAATTTATGTAACATTAATTTATACACTTAACAGTCACATTTTAAAAAATACGGTGTGAAATTAAATGGAAACAATTACCTGCTCAGCCAATAATGAAGCTAAGCTTGAATATGCATCTGCAAACTCTGGGCCATATTTAATGGAATCCTTCAGAAGAGTGATAGCTTCTTCTTTCTTCTCCTGGGACCTATAGACAATAAGTGGGGCAGGGGCATCTTTTATTAATACTTTGCTTAAATCCTCTGATTAGACTTTAAAATCTCACTTCCTTTTAGCAAAGATTGCTCATTCATTCTGGATTTTATGGCCAATGAATCAAACTTGGCTGTCTCAAGGTGCTAACAGCTTCTTTCTGTCTCTGGATTCTCCTTTGGAAAGTGATATAAAGATGCAGGTTATTCACTCATTTTTCTACCTTCTACAATGCACTTTTGGGGAGTTTTACGTAATAGTTTTATGAGTTTGTGAACAAGAAATGCTGACCCTCAGAGGAGTAATTTTGGGGCCATTACCTAGGTGGCATGGGAAACAGTTTACCATGATGTGGAAGATGGTATGGGCGCCTGTTTCTGGCTGCACCACTTCTAGCTGTATTCCTAACAGTAGCTGAACCCCCGACCAGGGACAAGCCAGGCCAGACTGCCAGTGTTAATCTTTGGTTTTATATCTAAGGGAAGAAAAGTTTCACACATGAAATTAGAAAATACTGTGACCACTGATCAGCAAATAATAATGAGCTATTTTATCATATTTTTATTGAAAATGGGGACTGATTCAGTAATATGTACTGCAACTTCAGCAGAACTCCTCCACCAGTTATCAAAGGCCATGAGAGTGGCTTCTGCTATAACCCCCTACAGGTTCAGTCTCTGTAGGATGAAGTTATGTAGAGGGAAGTTGTTACCGTTTAGAAGCGAGGTGTCCCTGAAAAGCTCACATGTAAGACAACGCAAGAAGGTTTGGAGGAAAAATGATCCAGTCACACACCGACTTAATCCAATCAGTGAATTAATCTCCTGATGGAATTGAGTGGTAACTGAAGGCAGGTGGGGTGTCATTGGAGGAAGTAGAGCACTGGGGACATGGCTTTGGGGATATATTGGTATTTGACAATTGGAGACCTTTCGCATTCTCTGCTTCCTGATCATCATGTGAAGTGGTTCCCTCTGCCACACTCTTCTGCCATGATGTTCTGCTTCACCTTGAGCCCTGAGGAATCAAGTCTGCTGTCTATGAATTGAGACCTCTGAAACCATGAGCCCCTAAATAAACTTTTCCTCCTCTATAATTGTTCTGGTTGGGTCCTTTTAGTCACAGCAGTGAAAAAACTGACTAAAACAGAAGCTAATACTGACTCATGTATGAGTTCTTAAGCTGCCAGAAGCAGCTTGCAACAAGTTGATTTCACCTGGACGGGAGCTTCCTATGACAGATGGAGGGTTCGGGGGCCAGGGGATTCATGATTCCAATACAGACCTTGGATTTATGGGTTCAATTTAGTAAACATTTACCATTGTCTGTTCTATGCCAGGCACTTAGCTATTTCCCAAAAGAGGTGGTTTTCCATACTATCTACTTCTTGGGTTCTAGCTAACTCCTAATAGGATTCTCTGATGCACAGTCCTATCTTTGAAAACAAGTTGTTCAACACCTGTGTCCTTAAGTGAATGGTCCTTGGGATGTGGCTTTAAAATTGCAGGATTATAATAAATTTGTATTACATCTTTCTTAAAGCTTTCTTGTTGATTCATCCAGTCAACAAAAATTTCAAAATTCTCTTTACGTCTATGGAAGCCATTAGGATTACATATATTCAGGTTTCTATTCTAAACTATACCTTGAAGTAATTCTTCCATTTGCTCATTTTTTTAATGCAAATGTATGTTTTAATCCTGGTAATTTGACCATTGATTTTATGGTTAGCAGAACTCTTCCTCTGATGATTTCATAAATCTTTATAAATGTTAAATTTGGAAATCATCCTAAAGTCCAAAGGAAGATGCAGACTTAGGAGATGAAGGCTGAAATTAAGTCTCATAAGGCATTATTTAATCAGATACTCTTTAAAATAAGAAGAGGGAAAAATAACTACTGAAATGATAGTAAAGATTTAATGGTTTTCATTTGTCATAACTTATATCAGTTAAAATGGAAACTGAGACTTTTTACAAATGAACTCAGCAAGATTAATTACCACTTATCATGGTCTATGAATGCAAATACTTGAGGTTGTCCATTAACATTCATGTGACACAATGGAAAAGTTATCATCACAGTTATTCACAGGAACTCAGATTTCTTTGTGAAAAATGGTATCTCTAAAATTCCTTAAGGAACTTGTTGCTTTCAAGAAAAATGTTTCATCATGTGATCAGCTCAGTGATGAGAGTTTTATAATATGCAAAAACTCTGGCAGCAAGGATTCTTCCTCTTGGCTCTGTACTTTTGGATGATTCTGGTTTGTCTGGGAACTTTTGAGAATCACTAGACACCAAGGGTCAGACTAACAGATGTCACATGCCACTTTGACAGATACTTTGCAATGCTTTTTAAAGAAAGTCCAAACAATCCATAAGTAGTAATTTTGTTTTTGTTTCTACAAGGGAGACAAATTGAGAGTATATTTCTTCTACAGTCCTGTTGCTCACCATTTGGTGGGAACTTGTATCATAGGTATGCTTTTGGCATAATAATTTACAGCAGTTAATTCGTCCAAATAGAACTTTACAACATGATTACCATGTGAAATTTCAAACTGTTTCAGATTTTAGTAGCATTCTTTTTCATATACACCTTGTAGCACACGTTCCTCTGATAATTATCCCCTATTTAAACACAGGGGAGAGATTCCTATAGTACTATCAGACTGCTGCCATCAACAGTGCACCTTACTCTGTCTGCTTGTTAACACCTCAGTTCACACTTTTATTTTACACATTTGCTTCTAGTTACTCTTTCTTCTCTTTGTACTACATGCAGACAATTCAAAGAAAGTTTTCTATGAGGACTGCTTTCAACATTGTCCTTGAGGTAGAAATCTTCATTAATGCTCAATTGCCTACAGATAGAAAATATCAAAACTCTCTACAATCTGGTTCTGACTGACATTCCACAAACACCCTGGGACCCACTATTCCAACCAGACTGGGTGGATTTTGGCATATCTTCTATTGAACCTAAGAGATCACCTGCTCCATTGATTCTTCATCTTCACAGTAACTTAAAGTCACCTGGGTGTGCTTTAAACAGACCTTCATGTTCTGAGGAAGCCCTCCATATGAATATGATCACCATCCACATTTGAGTATTATGAATATACCAACCTCCCTCATTTATAGTGATGAAAGTGAGACTCCGAGAGCCTCAAGGAATGTCTGGTCCCGAGCAAAGAGGAAGGACCTGCCCCAGGTCTTGTCCCTCTCTGCCTGGTGTCCTTACCATAGCACTTCACAGAGGGCCTTTCCCTCCTCCCCACTTAACTTCTGGTTCCCAGTGAAGCCTTCCCTGACTTGCCTGGCTCAAAGCACTGTCCTCTCATCAAAGATCCTAAGCCCATAACATGATTAGAAAAAAGAAATAAAGAAGGTCTGTGTATGTGTATCTATCTCTATATCTACACAGGTCAAGTATTTTTAAATCTGAAAACCTGAAATCCAAAATGCTCCAAAATCATAAGCTTTTTGATTTTCAGATGTTTGGACAAGAGATTCTTAACTCGTAAAGCCTATGCAAGTATTTAAAAAATCCTAAGAACTAGAAAAACTAATGTACTTCTTCTGGTCCCAAGCATTTGGACAAGGGATACTCAACCTATATCTTTATCAATTCTATATCTATGTCTATCTATATCTATACATATATATTACCTTTCTTATACACACATATATATGTGATACATATATATATATATATTTAACGGAGACACGTACACACACATATATACAGTCAGTACTTTCCAGGCTCTGAAGCAGCTTATGTACCCTGACTACACAGCAGTTAAAAGCACAAGCTCAAAGACCAGGTCTGGGCTCTGACTCTACTTCTACCATTTACCAGCTTAGGCAAATTGTCTGACTTCTCTGTGTGTCAGGTACACAGTAGATACTATATCCATTTTGGCTTTTTTGTTAAGTGCTTAACCACTGTTGGCTTTTATTAGTTCAATTAATGTTTCTAAAATCACCTACTGAAAACTAGCTCCTCCCCCTTTTTTGTTGTTTAGAAAAAATTTAGGTTAAATATCAGAGTAACTTTTCTTTGTGTACTTATTAGCACAACCCGGGATGTGCTAATATACCTAAATCTTCGGTGTCTATCAAGTGGAAAGTGACACCAGTAACAGAATCATTCCCCCGGGCAGGCTTACTCTAAGGCAAATGTCGAGGTAAGCAGGCCTAAAAAGAATTCAGAAACTACTTAGCTGCCACATGGGCCACAGAAAGGAGCAGATCAGCATTTTTCAGGGTGATGATCACAGATGAGTGCTCAGGCAAGAAAGAACCAAGGCATTTGGAATCTCTTCCTTAGCTGGCAAGGAAGTTTTTCATAAAAGAAAGATTTAGACAGTTATTTCCATGTACAAAGGAGGTGGGCATCACAGGAGAGGCAGAAAATTTCAAATAGTGTGAACTTGCTTAATAATGGGAATTACCAATATACTTGAATTGTACAGATCACCCCTAGGCCAGCATTAGACAGTACTGAAATTTCCCAATGTGTTCATTTTGGCTCTATAAGAAATAATTTAGGAAACTCAACAGCCTATTATCAGTATAAGTCTTATCTATATGAGACTACTTCCTTAGCCATTTGAAATGAATTGACAGGTCAATCCAAAAGAGGAAAAAAAATATTAAAATAACATTTTTTGTCTAAACTAACCAAGCATGTGATATAGGGTACCATGTCTACATGTGTTTTCTCAGAATTCTTTAGAAAACCACCTGAATTAATCAGGTCATAATTTGTGAACAAGTAGATAAAATCAAACCTCAGTACACACCCTGTGCAACTAGCCAAGGACACACTATGAGTATGGAGTCATGAAAAGAACACTGTGAATTCCTTTGGGAATTCATGTGACACGAAGGCCTTTCTGAGCTTCTGTTAGGGGGTTCCACTGGCATGGATGAAACTATTAGGGTCCCCATTTAGGTAAGATAACAGGTAAGAGGTAGCCTATCTCTT